ACGGGTCTACTAACAGAACATGTTCACTTATTTAAATATTTTTACACAATGGAGTATCGGAATCACCAATGTGCAGGAAGTGTGGAATAGAAGAGGAAAAGTATTTTCACATGATGTACGAATGTAAAGCCTTGTTCACACTAAGATCAAACTACTTGAGTAAACCTTCTGAAAAAGAAGACATTAAAAACCTAAGACCCAGAGAGATACTTAATTTCGTCAGAAAGAGAGGACTTTTTTGGTCATCTACAGGGGGTGACTTGATAGTCCACTCTTATACAATGATAGGTATAATGTACCTTATAATAACACTTCGGTGATAACACTTAAGTGTGTAAACCGAATCAAGACAATTCTACCTCACTAATAACTAAAACTAACTCAAATGTTACATACTGGGTCTTCATTCATATCAGTTAAAATAACCACTGTTTGTGCATTATGGTCCCATAACATTTGCCAAAAATCTAATATTGTATTTTTTAGAGGATGCTGAGTCACTATGAATTCTCCTAGTCGTTTAAAACCTAAAATGAAACGTTTTTCAATATAATACAATTTATCGTATTAATGATAAAAAAATGTCTGATTATAAAAAGTTGTTTGCTCCATTATATTTTACCTATTATCCATGAAGCATTAATATAGTCACTCCCTTCAACACCAGGTTTAGGAGTTAAATGAACACGAGAATATTCTACGGGCACAAATTCTTGAGATCTATTTTTTATTCTATTGAAAGCTTTATTGGCAGATAATAATAAATAATCTTGAGGAACAAAAGATGTTATCATCTAACAAATAAAAATAGAATAAACATGTTTAATTATTAAGAATATAAAACTTTTAAAAATACAAACTTTATAATGTTTTTCAAAATCAGTTGTGAATGATACTATTTTGCTATCTTGAATATCTGTTTGAAGGTAACTAGCTAATGTTTTTTCATTTATACTAGCATGCATGCAATTTATTGCTTCTAATAAAGCATCATGAATAAAAATATATTGTTCTTCTGTTTGAACGAGGAAATTTCTCTGTTGCCTAATATGCTTAAGAAAACCAAATATGTTAACTTCTCTTTCACTTCTAATTTGTTTTAGCATGGTATCTAATACAATGTACGTGCCAGTTCTCCCTACACCAGCGCTACAAATATATGTTTTTTTAGTAAATGAAACATTAAAATGTTTTAACTATAACGAACCTGCAATGGACAACAATTGGGCCAGCTTCAGAAGGGTTAGCTCCTGATGACTTATTAATAAAACTTAAAATTGGTAGTGCATGATCTGGTGTACCATGATCAGGCCAATTAGTATAATGATATTGGTATATAGTTCTTCCAGATGCTAAATTTTTTTTCTTTTTGGTCTAAAAATAATTTAAAAAATCATTTTAAATTATAATATAACATAAATCTAGAAGTACTTTTGATCTAGGATAGCAGATCCATATGTAGTTAAACCTTTATACAATCAACAAAAGTCCAATGACCATTCATACAAGTTTGTTATAGTAATAAATCAATGAACCATAAATATTATTCACTGATTTTTCAATATTTTATGTATAAATATTTAGTGTACTTAAAAAGTATGTTTGTTTCATTTTGGAAAATCATATAGTTATTGGATAGTAAAATCATTGCCTTTAAAGAACCAAAAATAAATTTGATCTAAAACCTAACTGGACTAAATTTATTATTGTACAAAAAATTCAACCAAATTCTTTGTTTAAAAAAAGTCTAATTCAGAATAAAAACTATAGGTTTTAATCAATTTTAGCTTCGATGCGAAGCTGAGAAGGTATTAATTTTATATGATGTGTTTTTTTTTTATGTCTGTTGCCACTTTTTCTCAGCTCTCACTGGACCGATTTCTTTCAAAAGTACGTCAAAAGATCACA